AAAAGTGCGCCTGGGTGGCTCAGTTGGTTAAGCGACTGCCTTTGGCTCAGGTCATGATCCCAAGGTTCTGGGATCAAGTCCCACATCAGGCTTCCCCTGCTCTGCGGGGAGCCTGCTTCTCCCTCTCCCTCTGCCTGCCACGCCCCCTGCTTGTGCTCTCTCTGTCAAATAAATAAAATCTTTAAAAAATAAAATTTTAAAAAAGGAGGTTCACATTTATAAATAAAAGAGCTACATTCTGAAATGCTGATCTTCCTTTGTTAAATTATTCATATTTGCATCTGAAACGAAAATTAGAGAGATGCTGAAGTATCTCATTTCAGTGATGACTGCAGTCATTCTAATACAGTATGGCAAATATTTTGACAAAAAAATAAGTTGTTCAAATTGGAGATGTTTCCTAATAAACTGCATTTTTCAAATAATTTTGGTAAACATAACTGTACCACTGAATTTTTCTCTGTGTACTATTGAGTTTTCTGATATATTTATAGAACGTGAGAAGAGGTTTGAAGACAATACCAAATAAAAGTGAAACCTACATTCTATACTTTGCGGGAAACTTATTAAAGCATTATCAGATGGGGTGCCTGGGTGGCTCAGTCAGTTAAGTGTCTGCCTGCGGCTCAGGTCATGATCCCAGGGTCCTGGGATTGAGCCCCGCCTCGGGCTCCCTGCTCCTCAGGAAGCCTGCTTCTCCCTCTCCCACTCCCCCTGCTTGTGTTCCCTCTCTCTGTCAAATAAATAAATAAAATCTTAAAAAAAAAAAAAGCATTATCAGATAAGAGCAACTGTTTTCTAGAAAAAAGCGGAATGAAATCCTGATTATAACAAAGCTCATTACTCCACAGACCAAGGTATTATGGGGTCAAGAAGTGTCCTCCAAAAAACCCTGCATGTTCTTGTCAAAATGTTATTTTACAATGCTAACGTTAGTTCTATTCCAACGTTAATTTTAAGGGTTCCAACGTATTTGTATTGTGCAACTGAGATGGAGTCCAACAGAATGTCTTCATTGAACAAACCTGAATTGGTGTTTGCTTATTTATTTAAACCACCCCTCCCTCCTGAGTCTCACAGGTCATGCGGAATTCCACTTGCACACAGAAACTGGAAATTCTGTCCAAGTGAGCCAACCTCTAGGCACCTGGGATCCACGGTAAGTGCTGTATCCCTGGGGTTATAGACATTTGGGCCCAGAGGGTCTCCTGGGGTTGCCCCTTAATCTGAGATGAGGAAACAGACTTGGAGAGGTGACCTGGTTCGCCCAGGCCCCAGAACCTGTTGGCAGCAGGGCTGAGCCTCACCCAGGACCCAGCTCTTGTTATATCCATGTAAAATGGCACCCAAACCCGATACTGCCCATAAGATTTTAGAACTTGGGTTTCCAAAGAAAGCCTGTAAGCCTGACCCAGGGAATTACAGTAAGCAATGCTTCATATTGAAAGGTGGCAGGTGTGTGGGAAAGGGGCGACCCGAGCAGGTTCAGGCTTAGGCTTAGCTAGAAAACAACACAAAAGCCGATCTGTGTTACAGCTTCTGACCATGCAGAGGGGAAATACCAGTAAGAAAGATTAAAGCAAGGTTCGAGTTCGGTTCCTCACGATTCACACCAGCTCACGGTGTCCTGTGTTGTCCCTCTCCTCATGCCGCTGGCTACCATTCTTTTCTGCTCTTTTTGCTTATTCTAATTTTGTGACCCAGATCTACTTTTGCTGCTCTCTTCTGATGTCCGTTCCTGTGACAACCAGCATGCAGAAGCAATGACAGCAACTCTAGATCCCTGAGGATCTAGTGCTATTGGATTCCATTTCCTTCCGTTCCTCTCCCGGGCAGCATCCTGTCCCCCTCAAATCCGCCAATGCCACCACAAGTCGTCCCCATTCTACCACGCTGGCTCATGCCCCAGAACAGGTGCTTCCTGTAAGTGCCGAATACCATGAGTAGAACAGGGCAGGTAGAGTACCTTTGGGAGTGTAGCATTAGGTCATAAGGTATCTCCCCCCTCCCCTGCAATGACTCAGACCAAGCCAAAAATATTAATATGCGAAGGAGCCCTGCCAGCATCTGGCTCTTCTAGCCCCACCCACCTGGAAGGCTCTTGAACCTCACTGGCTGCTGCAGCCGGGGTGCCGTTTGATGATCAGGTTGCCATGACAGCCCAGGGCAGCCGGGTTCCGATGAAACCTGCCTACACTTGGCAATTAGACACACAATGAGCAAAATTCTCTGAGCTTCTGAGAAGACGGCCCCTCAGGATTTGCGAGCTTGAATGCCGCTGAGGGCGCCTCTTACTCCACACTAAGGCTTTCGTCTCCAACTGCAGATTAACTGTAAGACAAAGGTAAAGGGGAACACTGGAACAGTTCCTAGAATAAAAGCCTGCAGGAACCCGACTCACTAGCAGACATATTTCAACGGGGGAAATGAGAGCAAAACACAATAGTGCGGCTGGAGAACTGGGAAGCTGAGGACCAAGGGGGATGTGTCTAGAAGGTTTCCGCAGCATTCTCCTGAGGGAGACAGCGAGGCCAGGTCCCCTTGGCCAGTGATCACAAACGCCAAACCCCACCTCTCAGAGTCACTGCAGCCCGCAGGCATGGCCACATGCTGTGAAAACACGCTATTCCGACTGTCAGTTTATCCACAGAAATGCTCCTGCTAGTCCCAGGTCTCGTTTGTTTGTTTGTTTAAAGATTTTATTTATTTATTTGACAGAGCGAGAGAACACAAGCAGAGGGCGAGGGAGAAGCAGGTTCCTCGCTGAGCAGGGAGCCCGATGCGGGGCTCCATCCCAGGACCCTGAGATCATGACCTGAGCCGAAGGCAGATGCTTAACCATCTGAGCCACCCAGGCGCCCCCCGAGGTCTTGGTTTATCTGCTTTTAAAGAGTCCACACTGCCCAGATGTGCTTGCTTTCTTGCTTCAAACCGAACCGGCTGATCTGTCTCCCTCCTGGGGCTATCCCCCCCACTCCCCCTCTAGCTGATCTCTCTCTCTCTCAGGGAGAGCAGGTTAGTGAAAGCTGTGGGTCTCCGGCTCAGCCCCGTGGCCCCTAACTGGCAGGCCAGGAGTGAAGCTATTCAGAACAGAAAGTCCTGATGTGAGGCCACCCGTGGGGAAGTCTGGCAAGAGGTGCCAGGATGAGTTTGGGAAATGGAGCAGTTTAATTATTAAAGTCCAAAGTAGGTGAATTTAAAAGGGAGCCAATCCCTTGATCCCTGGGCCATAAGGCAAGCAGGTCTGGAAATCAGAAAGCTCCTCACAAAGGAGAGCACCATTGCCATTTCTGAGCTCATCCCAAGATGACGGAAAGGTAGAAAGTGACATGGCTTGAAGCACACCTCAGAACACAGACTCTGAGATCCATGCTGACCAGGATGAGCAGGGCGTGGGGTGGGGAGGATGTGGCAGAACAGATGGTCAGACAGACAGACACACACGGACACTGAGGCTCCTCTCCAAGCTCACACCTAAACGCCCACAGAAGCCGTGGCATCAAAAGTCCCTCCCACTCAGCCAAGGATAACCGAACATTTAATTATTTGATGTAGCAATTCAATTCAAGCAACATTTTGGGGGAATCTACAATGTGCCAGACACAGGGCAGTACCTCTTTCCCTCTTCTAGTTGATTTTTATCCAGAGGAGAACAGATTCAAAATAACCCAAACTCAGGAGGTCAGCAAGGTCGCTCCTAGCGCAGGCAGGAGAAATCCCGGACAAACTGCGCTTTCCATTCTAAACCCAAGAACGCGACAGGTCCCGTTAAAACTGCTTTCTTAAGGTAAAGTGAGGCAGGTACAGGGCAAAGTTCCACACAGATTAGGGGTGAAATCTCACCTCTACCCTCCGTAACTGTTTAATCCTGGGCAAATTACTCAACCTTTCCGCACCTGTTTCCTCATCCACGCGATAGGGGTGTTACCACTTACCTTGGCTCTCGGGAAGATGAGGTGAGATAACCCACACTCAGAGCATGAGATGAACGGAAGGCTCTGGCACTCAGCAGACCCGCGGACCCACGAGGGGTACTGGCCTCTGTACCTTGAGACTCCACCCTTTCCTCTGACTCCTCCTCCCACTGCTTTCCTTGCAGACCCAAAGGCAAGGGGTCTGACCTAAGGGGTGCAGGACAGGCTGGCCTTCCCCAGCTCCAGGCAGTTGGGTTCAACTTTGAAGATCCTCCCTGCATTGTTCAGACAGGCTAAGACCTAAGACACACTGTTATCGTTTGTCTCTTCCTTTCAACTGGCTCTCTGGGGCCAAACTGACAAATCCTAGGGTAAATCCTCTATTGCCTTCAACCTTCCTTCCCCAAATGGCCACAGTGAAACGGTCATGGTAGGGTGATAAAACTTTTACCATGGCCACAGGAAGATTCTAGATTGAAGACTTGGGCTTCTTCATTGTCTAACACTTCTCCCCTCCAGCCTTCAATACCAAACTGAATGATTTCTAAGGCCTCTCTTCCTCCCCACACTCCAGTTTTTTCCAGGAAACCGATCCTAGACCAGCCCCTAAAGTAGGAGGTCCTCTTGAGGTTGCCATTACCTTAGGAAATTGCTCTGCAGGTCCAACCACCAGCAAAATGGTGGGTCTCTTTTCCGTGGCCTCAGCCCTTCCGTCCTGTTTCCCCAAAAAGCTTGACATCTGGTCTCCCCGAGCTGGAGCCGGGGTGCCTCTGACTTCATTATTGTTCCCCTCTCTGGAGCCTTGGCACCCAGCCCTAGGGAGAAAGCTAGACAGAAAATGCCACAGCATCTGCAGCATCACGGCTTCCTCCCAACGTCGCCGGCGGTGATTGTCACTTTTGAGGAGGGATGTGACCACAATACCAAGGATCTCTGGCTACACGGTCGCTCGGAAGGCTAGCCTGGGGAGTTGTAAAGCTGGAAGCTCTGCATACAGTGGCTGTTTCCTGCTTTTTCCAATTTGCTAGCACTGCTGTCCTGCCTGGCCTGAGAAGTAGCTCACTCTCCGAGAGCCCCTGCGGCCGGGGCTGCTGGGAATGAGAGCAGCTGGAGCTTCTTCAGTAAAAACTCACTTTTGCAGGTGGACGGTGATCAAATGTGTGGCTTTTTTCAAAAAGGAAAAAGCAATAGCCCAACTGATCTCTCCTGGAGGCAGAAGCAACTTGGAGCTCCCAATTATTCAGCAGTCCTCGCTCCACTAATGATCATCACACCAGCGAAGACCGAGCACTCCGACCGCATTCTCACTGCAGCGGGGCGCGGCCAATCACCTCCGCCGACACTACGGAGTTCATTAGCCCAACCAGCACCGTCCCTCCAATCACAGGCGGCCGATCCCCTGCATGCGGCCGGCAGTTCTGCAGGGAGGTGCTGATGGCAACCTCCAGCGAGCCTCCTAGCTCACAGAATCCTCCCTGAGCTGCAGCCGTGCAGGAGCCCCACTTCCTCCTCTCCGCCTGCTTGTTTCCGGGACAACGCTCACCATCAAGGTTAACCTGATCAAGAGACCCTGGCAACACTTCCTAGCACATCTAGCAACACTCTTCTTTGCTCCATTATCCCATTCTCTCCAACTGTGCGGAACACAATGCACGCCAGACCAGCTACTCATTCTCCTGTGTCTTCCTCTACACCATGAGCTGCTTGGGGACGGGGACCAAGTCACACATCTTTCTACCGCAAGGACCCAGAACCAGGCACAGATGAAGTCTGTAGACTGGACTGAGTTGATGATCATGAATAAAAGGGAATTAATCTTTGGTCATCTGTTTCTTAATTTACTAGCTGACAAATGCAGTGACCAGTATCCCTCACAAAAGTAACCCTTTGATAACGGTGTTCACAACCATTATTTTAAAAACACAAACATTGGGGGCGCCTGGGTGGCATTGTCAGTTGAGCATCCCGACTCTTGGTTTCGGTTCAGGTGGTGATCTCAGGGTCATGAGATCCAGCCCTGCAACAGGCTGTGCTCGGTGTGGAGTGAGGCTTGGGACTCTCTCTTCCTCTGCCCATCCCTGCCCAAAATAAATAAATAAATAAATCTTAAAACACACACACACACACACACACACAAGCATGAGACAAGTTTCAAAAAACGTGTTGGAGAGAGTGGAGGGAAACCTGCACCCTCACACTCTGCTATGAGAGTGTATATCAGTACAACCTCTCCAAAGAGTCAGTCAGTCCCAGCTTTCCAACATGTTAAAAGCACAAAGCCTTTGACACAGCAACTCCATTTTTAGCAATTTATCCTGCAGATATATTTGCACGTGCGGGAAATCACATATACATTTATATGATACATATGTGATAAAATATAAGGATATTACATTTTATCAAGCAGCCCTGCTTATAATAGTGCAAGTTTGCTAACAACTTCAAGCCCTTTACAAGAGAAGTGGGGAAGATTCTGGCACACCCATACAGTGGAACCCTAGAATGAGGCACCTCTATCTACTGTTATGGAATGACTTGAAAATATCTTTTTAAGGATGCCTGGGTGGCTCAGTTGTTAAGCGCCTGCCTTAGGCTCAGGTCATGATCCCAAGGTCCTGGGATCGAGTTCCGCATCCGGCTCCCTCCTCGGCAGGGAGTCAGCTTCTCCCTCTGCCTGCCGCTCCCCCTGCTTGTGCATGTGCTTCTCTCTCTCTCTCTCTCTCTCACAAATAAATAAAATCTTTAAAAACATATGTGTCTTTTTAAATGAGAAAAGCAAGGGGGCACCTGGGTGGCTCAGATGGTTAAGCGTCTGCCTTCGGCTCAGGTCATGATCCCAGCGTCCTGGGATCGAGTCCCGCATTGGGCTCCCTGCTAGGCGGGGAGCCTGCTTCTCCCTCTGCTTCTCTCTCTCCCTCTCTCTCTCTCCTCCTCTGTCTCTCATGAATAAATAAATAAAATCTTTAAAATAAATAAATAAATAAGAAAAGCAAGGTGCAGAAGAAAGGGGACAATATGCTGCCATTGATTTCTCAGTGTGTATGTGACAAATATCTCTGGAAAGACACACTAAAAATTGAAGAGATGGTTTGGGGCCCTTGGCGGTTTGAGGGGAGAAAGGCAGGTGGGAGATTTATTTTCAATGAATAGCCTTAGATCTTGTGAAACTGAATCATGCGCATGTATGACCAGGGATGCATACATATGTACATACGCATAGTTACTTAAAAAGAAAACATGAGAAGTGAAAGCAAGATGGCTAAGCTTGGTCTGAAAGCTGAGGGGCCAGTGTCAGTTGCCCTCTCACTGGACAAAGAATGACCTCATCTCGAAGCAGTTCTGTGCGTTGCCTAGATGTATAGTCTTTATAGAGTCGGAGCCCAGGCTTAAATCCTGGCCATCACTTACTCATTTTGTGAATGATCTTGGTCAAGTTACTTTAGTTCTCTGTGTTTGAATATCTGTACGTGCAAAATGGGGATAGTAAAAGAACTGTATTGTTACTTCATAGAATTGGTTAAAGACTAAATTAGATAATTCTCTCCCTCTGCCCCTCCCCCCACTGTCTCTCTAATAAATAAATAAATGTTAAGAAAAAGGAGAACAGTACATATTAGTTATTTTATTTTTTAAAAGATTTTTATTTTTTGGGGCGCCTGGGTGGCTCAGTCGGTTAAGCGACTGCCTTCGGCTCAGGTCATGATCCTGGAGTCCCAGGATCGAGTCCCGCATCAGGCTCCCTGCTCGGCAGGGAGTCTGCTTCTCCCTCTGACCCCATCCCCTCTCATGTGCTCTCTCTCGAATAAATAAATAAAATCTTTAAAAAAAAAAAAAAGTTTTTTATTTTTAAGCAATCTCTACAGCCAACATAGGGCTTGAACTCACAATCCGGAGATCAAGAGTTACATGCTCTACTGACTGAGCCAACCAGGTGCCCCCATACTAGCTATTTTATTACCATTATCTAGAAAATGATTGTGAGTTCATGCAATTAAGTAGTTTTAATACCAAAGAAGAGTCAGCCCAGAGCCCCAAACCCTAAACAAGTAATCCTTTCATGAAGATGGATCTTGTTTTTAGACCCTGAGGGTCTGGTGAATTGGGCACGGTGGTGTTTCGGGTTCCCATCTGCAAACACAAGAGAAATCCCTTAGGTAGCAGATTACTGGCGTTTCATTTAATGGACTCTTCCATCCCACAGAACTGAGTAAAATCTCAGGGGCTTCCAGCCAAGATGGAATAACAGGGACTGATTCCCCTTTCTGCCCACAGGGAACAAAAGAGTGACTCCAGAGACATCCACGCAAATGAGGCAGGCCCTGCAACTGCCCCAGCTCCCTGGCTGGGGTTTCCAGGCTACGGCTCAGGGAGTGGGTACCCAGGCAGAGCCCAGCAGTCCCCTCATGCTGAAGGCAAGGGGCTTGGTGGGCCAGGGAGGCCAGGGCGGCCAGAGCAGGACCAACTACCAGGGAGGAAGGAACTGCACAGACAGCAAGCTCTGAGGAGCCGCTGAAGGTACCCTAGAGTCACGATGCATGCATGTGAGGAAACTGCCTGATGGTGGCAAAAGAACCATCCAAAGGCATCCTGTTCCCACCAGCCAGAGAGGAAAAACCTCATAATCTAGGGAGGGTCAGGAAGGGTTTGTAGAGGGCTTTGCCTCAGTAGTGGGGCAAAACTGGCCCTAGGCTAAATGCTGTTCTGGCCCCACAAATAAAGCTTTAAGCAGCAAGCCCTGAAAGGGTCAGATGGTTTCCAAATAACTGCATTCTAGAAAAAAGCTCAAGAATATTCATAGGAATATGAGATTATCTAACACCCAGCAAGATAAAATCCAATAAAAAAAATTAACAGGAATGCAAAGAAGCAGGAAATGACCCACAATGAGGACAGAAATCAAGCAGCTGAAACTGACCCAGAAATGACATGCATTGGACACCTGGGTGGGTCAGTCGGTTAAGTGTCTGCCTTTGACTCAGGTCATGATCCCAGGATCCTGGGATTGAGTCCTGCCATCAGGCTCCTTGCTCAGCAGGGAGCCTGCTTCTCCCTCTACCGGCCGCTCCCCCGCTGGCTTGTGTTCTCTCTCTCTCTCTCTGACAAAGAAATAAATAAAATCGTGTGGAAAAAAAAAAAAGGAAATGACGTGTATGATAGAATATTAAAAGTCATAATGGGGGCGCCTGGGTGGCTCAGATGGTTAAGTGTCTGCCTTCAGCTCAGGTCATGACCCCAGGGTCCTGGGATCGAGCCCCACATCGGTTTCCTGGCTCAGCGGGGAAACTGCTTCTCCCTCTGTCTCTCCCCCTGCTCATTCTCTCTCTCTCTCTCTGTCTCAAATGAATAAATAAAAAAAAAATCTTAAAAATAAAAAAATAAAAGTTATAATGGTATTCCACATGCTCAAGAGCTAACAGAAAGCTTTAACATGTTAAATAGATACACTGCAGATACTCTAGATGAAAATTACAATGTCTGAGATGAAAACCACACTGGCAGACTAGACAATGCAAAAGAAAAAAATTGATGAACTTGAAGACAAAACAATAGAAACTTTCCAAAATGAAAGAGAGAAAAAACAAAGCAAAACAAAATAATGAACAGAGTATTAGTGAGCTGTGGGACAACCACTAACACGTTAATACAAACTAGAGCTCATGGAGGTAGGGACAGACAAAACATTTAAAGACATAATAGCTAGATTTTTCCCCCCCAAATTCATTAAAAACTACAAATCCACAGATCCAAGAAACTCAACAAACCCCAAGCATAAGAAATATAAAACAAACTACATCAAGTTAAATTTCTGAAAACCAGTGATAAAGAGGAATATTTTATTTTATTTTTGTTTATTTATTTATTTGAGAGAGAGAGAATGAGAGATAGAGAACACGAGAGGGAAGAGGATCAGAGGGAGAAGCAGACTCCCCGCCGAGCAGGGAGCCCGATGTGGGACTCGATCCCGGGACTCCAGGATCATGACCTGAGCCGAAGGCAGTCGCTTAACCAACTGAGCCACCCAGGCGCCCAAAGAGGAATATTTTAAAATCAGAGAAAAAAGACCCAATATATTCACAGGAACCAAGAGAGTGACAGGGGACTTCCCATCAGAAACTGTTACCCCAGAAAAACACCTTCCACAAGGAAGGCAAAATAAAAACTTTTCAGGCTTATGAAAGCTGAAATAATTTATCACCAGCAGGTTTGCATTACAAGAAATGCTAAAGGAGTCCTTCAGGTAGAAGGAAAATCTA